CCCTCCTCAGCCTCCTCCTGTCCGGCGGGCGGCCTCCTCCGGCGCCTCCCTGCGCCCGCCCGCCGCCTCCCTCCCTCCTTCCCTGCGGCTCCCCCGGCTTTCGGGAGCCCGGGGGCGGCCTGTGGCGCGCCGAGCCCGCGCCGGACTGCGCCTCTTTGGACCTTGAGGGGAAACATGCGTTTGGCTTGGATCGTTTTAAATTCTTAGTTTGGGATCCCCGCCCGCCTGCCTCTTCCGCCCCGCGGGTTTTCTTTTCTTTTTTCTTTTTTTTCCTCCGGGTCTCCTTTTTGACTCCCTCCCCATTTATGCTCGCCCAACCCTCCCCCCGCTGCTGAGAAGTGGGGGAGGGTCTCGGCCTCCAGGTTCCCGCCCCACCGGGGTCCGGGCGAGCATGGGGGGCAAGCAGAGCACGGCGGCCCGCTCCCGGGGCCCCTTTCCGGGGGTCTCCACCGATGACAGCGCCGTGCCCCCGCCGGGAGGGGCGCCCCACTTCGGGCACTACCGGGCGGGCGGCGGGGCCATGGGGCTTCGCAGCCGCTCGGTCAGCTCGGTGGCGGGCATGGGCATGGACCCCAGCACGGCCGGGGGGGTGCCCTTTGGCCTCTACACCCCCGCCTCCCGGGGGACCGGCGACTCGGAGAGGGCGCCCGGCGGCGGAGGGTCTGCGTCCGACTCCACCTATGCCCATGGCAATGGTTACCAGGAGACCGGCGGCGGTCACCATAGAGACGGGATGCTGTACCTGGGCTCCCGAGCCTCGCTGGCGGATGCTCTACCTCTGCACATCGCACCCAGGTGGTTCAGCTCGCACAGTGGTGAGTCCGCGGGCGGTGGAGGCCTCAGAGGGTGGAGTGCAAGGGAGGGCGCGCCGGGGCGCCCCAAACCTTCGCGCGCTTGCGAAGATTTGGATGTGGAGTGCGCGACCTGGATCTGTCAGCCTTCCCTTTGGTTCCTGGGGATGAATGGGCTATCTCCCCTTTAGAAAAGAGGCTTCCTGCGAGGCTGCGGAGCCGGGCGTTTTAGGACTTCAGGCGTCGATTCACTTGTGGATGAGCAGAGTGAAACCTGCCTATTGAAGTCCCATTTATCGGTATCACCGTCCTCAGAGAGGAGGTCTTGTCTGGCTTATAGCAAGTCGGCCTCGGTGCTTCCTTTCTGTCACTGCAGTACTGTGCCTACCTCACCGTTAAGAGAGAGAGAGAGGGATCCACTTTGACCGGGCGGTGTCTCCCAAACAAAGAGTGTGAAAAGAAAGAAAATTGGAGGCAAGTGTTGTTTGGATTAGGGCTCTCACTCTTGCTGGAAGAAGGGGATGCCCAATTTTGCCACCCTGCTGGAGCTGTGTTTGAATTGTTTAAAATGGAGCAGCCGGAAGCCTGCTGCTGCCATAGACAGGTATGGCCTGCCGAATGGATGGCCTAGCAGGGAGCCTCCCTCTCTGAGGCTTTGCAGGACCAGGGCTCTGGTGGCGGGTGCTGCATTCAGTAGGCTTGGCTGCATGACTGTCACATCCCTCCATCTTTTTTCTTCCTCCATGCTAAGTGCTAGGTCTGCCTGGTAATCTCTCTCTTTTTGTAATGGGAGGTGGGACTTTATTGCCTGGCTGTTGTTGGTGCATTACCTGGGAAGAGGAAGATTCAAAAAATCTGGATGAATTCATTTTGTGAACTTCTGGTGACAGGCCAGCAAAAAGGATTTCCCAGGCCCTGACTGGCAGGGCAGAAAAGGCACTGGCAGGAGCTTCTGGAGGAAAACAGGTCTGTCTGCTCAGCTAACCTGAGAAGCCAGGTTAGGCTTCTAGAAAATTGGTCAAAAGGGGTTGGGGCCGCTATTTGCTAATTGGCAGGTCGGAGTGAAGAAGTTAATGTATTCAGACTGCTTTGGGAGAGTTAAGAAAATCTAGATATTGTGTAGAAAGAAGAAAGATTGCCTTATGGAGGGTGTTATCTATTGGATCACGGTTCTAGCTATTGTGAAATAGGGTAGACTTTTTGCATCTTTTTTTTTTTTTAAATTTCTGGAAATAGTCTGGCTTTTGTTTCAATTCTATAAACTTTAATTTGTGAAATATTTTTTGAGGGGGAAATAGTGACTAATTTAGGGTAACACTTGAAAGTGGCTTTTGAATTGCTGAAATGGTATTTTAATTCCTGAACAGAGCTCTGGATATCATCGGAGCTTCCTTGAACTGCATCAGTCTCTGCCCTGAATAAGATGCAAGGTGTGGATGCTTTGGGCACTTTTAGACATTTGATCATTTTTAGACATCTTGAAATTAATAATTTTTCTTAACAGATTTGGTCCAGAAAGAGTAAGCTGTATTTGTGAGATGACTGTGATTAACTTTTTAAAAGAACTGTCATTAGTATCTGATTTTAAACTGAAAAGCAGTATAAGAAGGTTCTTCTAAAATCATAGAATTTTGTGTGTTACAAAACACATGTAATCTTATGGACACTTGTCCGGGGAAGGAGTTCCTGTTTTGCTAAAATTTATCTGTCTCTTACTAGAAACTTCTTTTTCCTTATTCCACCTGGTACCAGGTTCCATGTTGGAGTTATGAGCTTACAGTTGGATTCCAAAATTTCAGACTCCTCAGCTGTGAAACTTCAGTTTAATTTTTTTTCATCCAGCTGTGGTGAGGGTAGGAAGAGCCATGGAACCATGAGAATACAGGAAAAGTGGGGGCATAGTAATCCCTCCGGGATTAATATGAAAGTGTGTGTGAAGCTGCTCCTAATATTTTGGGTAATACATTCTTTTTCCAAATTATATATATGTATATATATATATATATATATACGTATATATATATATTTTTTATTTATATGACAGAGAGAGACAGCGAGAACAGGAACACAAGCAGGGGGAGTGGGAGAGGGAGAAGCAGGCTTCCCGCTGAGCAGGGAGCCC